TTTTTTTTTTTTTTTTTACTGGCCTTATGACGGCACTATTTCAATGTCCCTCTGCCATAGGGTGAAATGCAGTACATCAACCCCTGTTCTGTGTGCTGTAGCAATGTTGCCTGTAAAGGAAGATGTGGGATCTGTAAATGGTGATTGGAAACAGGAAAGCAACGGGTCTTTGCTTTGGAGCTCTACAGCAAGGCAACCTCTTTCAGAACAGACCAGAGAAAAACCTCTGTCAGTTCGCAAACGCAGCAGAGGCCAGTGTGAATTCCCTCTGAACAACAGGGACAGCTTTTTCGACCAATCCGATGTTCCTGAGAAGTCCCAGTCTAAGCGTGGATCCTTTGAGTGGGAATTCCACTCGCAATCTGTTGTGCGGAAATCTGAAGGTGCATCTTTTCTCAGCAGAGAGCAGAACTGTGACTCTAATGCACCTGAATGCAGGACAGACCAACAATCCAGGACAAACCCTGACATGTGCACAGCTCAACAGTTCAGTGAAAGAAACCGAGAATCATTAACGGCATTTGAGTGCTTTAGGACTAACTCCTGTGAAGTTTATTTGCAAAGTATGCCAGAAAATCAAGTTGAAAATTCAGCTCTTTGGCCTTTAGGCAGCACAGAACCCGAACCGGACCCCGATAGCCCCACTAATTCACTGCAACGGAAGGTTCGGAATGTCAGATCCAGAAGAAGAAAGCAAGTACCAGCCTTGCACATCGAATCTAGTAAAGAGAGAGAATCATTGAGCTCTCTTACACCTGTTAAACCTGTACTGGAGTGCGAGAACCCACCTGGTTATCTCCTGGACCTGTGGCAGCTCTTTCAGTCCAGTGACCACATGGATGAAGATTTTAAGGGTTTTTGAGATTAAAGCTAGAGGAGTAGAGGAATTTAACACATATGTATGTGTTGTAAAAGTTATTACTGTGCCAAATAATATGTAGTAATAAATCTGTTTTCTTTCATCAGTACGATGGAAAACTGCATTCTTACTATACAGGCTTTAAAAGAAAACTTGTAGACTGAAAAATACCTACTGACTTTATACAGTAAAAAAATGAGTGGAGATACTCCGCATGTACATTTGATGAGTGGATGTAATTGAATGATATAACAGCATCAGCTTTTCTTAAAATGTTTTCCTGGTTCCTGTATTAAATTGCAAATATTTTTTTACAATGGTTTAAGTATTGTTTTTTCTTTCATTTTGTGAGTCTCTATCATGGTTATAAGCACCAGTGTTGTGCAAAAACATTTTAAGAAGTCTTCTGATTTGCCATGGGTTTCTATTTAACAGTGCATAATGTGTGATAAGTACATTAGGGGGTGTATTCATAACATCTGTATGAGAAAGGCTCTTTCCATTATCATCAGTGTTTCAAGACTTCAGTCCGATTAATATTCTATACGCACTACTGTTCAAACATTTGGGGTTGGTAAGATTTTTTTAATCTAATGAATACATTTATTCAGCAAGTTGCATTAAATGCATCAAAATTAATAGGAAAGACTTACATAAAAGAAGAAAAAGCCATAGATTTTTAAGGAGCACAGCTGTTTGCAGCATTTTTTTTTCTTGTGCAACAAATTAGCATATTCAGAAGGATCACGTGACACTGAAGACTGGCGTAAAGATGCTGA